ATAAAATCGTGAAGAGATACATATTGATAAATACGTATCTAAATAGAACTTTTGAAAGTAATGAAATGTAAATGAATTTTATGATGTTTTATTCCTCTATTTATAATATCAAAAGGAAAAGACGACAATTTCTTTTATTGAAAGTCTTACATGTCATGTGAACTTTGTTAAATGATTGTAGAACTCCTGTTTCTCTAATCTAAATAACAGACCTCTCTATGCAGGCGAAAAACAATAGAGAAAGAAAAAGTAATAATAATCATCATTATCATCGATCGATGTATCGTTCTATTGCTTGACAAGACTTCTATCGTGGCGAAAGATTGTTGAGAAGGTAATTTAACTAATGTTCCATTTCTTGAATTATGAAGGTAATTTTCAAGTTTGAATATGACGAATAAATTACATGTTTTGACCTACGCAGATATATTTGTAAAATAAAATATTTCTTCATGATTATATAGTCAATTGAAAAGCATTTTAAATCACAAAATATCTTTTTATTTTTCAATAAATTAATCACATCGATTGATGTGAGTTAATGTGAAAAGCACGTACAAAAAACTATAAAATACAATCATAATCAATAAGAAAAGAATCTGAATGAAAATTAAAAATAAACTTGTATTTGACTTTTCTCGATTTTTTGAGCAGATAATTAAACATGACAGTTGCAACACAAGATTGAACCAACATTGACAAGAAACAAAGAAAAGTTGACAGAATTCAGATTTTAAAAAATATATATAACAAAGAAAAGTAAACGATATCAATGTATTGTTTGAAATAAACATAAAATACAAATGAATGACAATATCTTAGTGAAACAGAATCGAAAACGCATCGATTTATCCCTCTTTTTTTCTTACTGAATTCTAAATTCTGTCAACTTTTCTTTGTTTCTTGTCAACGTTGGTTCAATCTTGTGTTCCAGCTGTCATGTTGAATAAACTTGTCGAACACTAGTAAATATGTATTATGAAATAGATTGATAAAATCTTCTTAGTAAAAAAGAAATTATTGTTTAATTCTAAATATAATTTGTATATTTCATAGAACTTGGAAATGATGTTAGATCAAGAACAAAAAAAAATTAATCGATTGAACATGAATATCCTTCATTATAAAATCCGATAAGACATAGTTTTATTTGCTTTTCAATCTGTTCAATAAGATCAGAATTAAATACCTGAATTTAAATTATTATCAAAGCAAAATTTAATATATCAACATATCAGTTATTATTTCTTAATGACTAACTAATCTTTCAAACTTCATTGAAAAGAAAACGATGAAAATATTTATTAAGAATAATTGTTTCATGGTTGATTTGGTTATGAAAATTATTAATCTATTTCAAAAATTTGTTTCACAGTGAATATGTCATCATTTTGATATATAAGATCTTTTATGTCTGTTCAACGACAATCTTTTACAGACCAGTTATGTCATCTTAGTTTTTAAAATATATTCATGTTTTTTTTTCTAATTCTTTTTCTATGATTATTTTTTATTGACGAAAATATTTTGTACATTGGTTTTACTTTTCTTGAGATATATTATTAAATAATTTTGTCGATAATCCATTACTCCTTTTATTATTAAACAGCCATGAAAAGATATAGATATACTGAAATAATCTAATATTCTCCCGCAACGATTCCAGAGAAGTCCAATGGCAAAATAATCTTATAAATAGAATATTAACCTTTCTAATATGCCGATGGTATGATTAGATTCATCAAATGTTCTCCTTTCCGCGCAAGATGGTTTTAGTTATTTCATTGACCATGTGGTAGAAAAATGACATTGAACTATATGAAAAGCCCTGATTTATTTTTTCTTTCATGATAATATTAAATGGGCAAAAGCAGTTCATATCCCATGATGTTACAGTGATCGAAAAAAGAAAGGAAGAAATAAATACATAAAAACTAATTTTGAAACAATGCATGTGTTTTTTGACACATATTATTAAATAATCATTAATCATTAGTAATCCTCTTCATCAATCTATATTACATAACAAGCCACAAAGGTCCATATGACCTGCAGCTAGAAAATATTTTATTTAAAAAATTTTAATTTTTTTTGAAACTATCGATTTTTATTTTAAGGATGAAGCGATGAAACGAAATATTCCTCTCTTTTTTTTAATTAATCGATTGCTCATGAAGTTTACTATAAAACATATTTTTTAAGCTCTGAAATTCTATGCGTTGTTTAGTTTTTGTAATCGATCTACGAATGATCCTTTGATAAATCATTCGAAGACAAAAGGTTACCAGTTTAATCAACTATTCGAATATAAATACTAACAAAATTTGATACAGTATGAAAGGTGAATGAATCAAGTACACTTTCATAAGGCATTTTCGCTAGATTACATAAAAAGTAATTTTATCAGTTTAGTAAAACTTTTCATTTTATTCTTATCGTTTGTATGTACTCGATCAATATTGTTTAGGTGATATATATATATAATTATCGATTTGTTAAAGAAGATTTTGTTTATTTAAAATACTTATTATTAAGACCATCGATCAATTGACGATAATCTAGACAAACTCAACATCATTTTTTTTTAAATTTATCAACTAGGATAGGATGACCTTGTATTGTGTACAACCATTTTTAGAAATTTTTCATTTTTTTTTTATCGAAAAAATATTCATCGAATGAGAAAAATAATTCCAGCATCTCTCATTCGTAAAAGATTGTATGTGCTTGACTTCATCATCCATTTTGAAAATCTTCCTTTGCACTTTTACCCCATGTTTTTTTTTTCCTTTGCCATATACCAGTTTATCTATTAGTAATCACGAATACGGTATAAATCGAATAAGATTTATGCTTTACATGTAAAACAAGCATTTTTTAAACGAAACATTGTTTAATGATAAATGTTTTTCAAAGCAACTAAGGTTGAGATATGAAATAAACTCTTAGTCTTGAATATATAAAATCATCATTGTACTAAATGTTTATCATTGGAATCGAATGAAATGAAAAGTATCTAATATCAATGCCATATAGAACATTCTAAATAACTTTGTTAAATGAAAATTACTACAAAATACAACAATTAATTATTCTAATTTTCAATAAATTATTCATATGAAAATGAACAAAAAATCGTATCGACATAGTTTATTAACTTTGACGATAATCATATTTAAATACATACAAAATTATTTGTCATATTCTTCTAAATTTATTCATAGGAAATTAAAAAACAAAAATATTTTAATAATGCTTGATCAATATATTGCGAACAGATTGTGTGTGTATTTTTATCGAATAAGTAAATCACTATATCTATCTTTTTGAAAGCACTGTCTGTATAATATCAATGAATTATTTGTGAAGAATTAATTCGGCTTTTTTTTTTTCTTATTCTTTTGAATCGAGCTAAAATAAATAAATATGAAGATAAGAATATATTTTATTATAGAAACAACAAAAAAAAAAGAAAAGAAAAGAATAATCAATCAACAATCAGTTTCTTTTTGTTGATGAAATACTAACATAAATAAATTAAAATGAATTATTAGGAAAAAGACGTGCAGCTAAATGATTATAAATAAAATAACTTATTGTATGAGCAATAAATAATGGAAAAATTGATATATAAACAAATATATGACCAATTGTTGAAAAAGTTGATTCATAAATAAATTTTACAATAAATATAATAAAATTTGGTAAATTACAAGCCAGAAAACTAGCCGATACTATTATAACACATACAGTTATTTGTAAATCAATATTATCTTGTTGTTCTTTTTCAAAAGATTCATTATTAGAATTTTCTTGTTCAATAGTTAATTCTATTGAAGATTCGATATCATCTATAAAATAATATAAATTATTAGAAAAAAAAAAAAAAAAAAAATTTCCGTGAAATTTTTAATTAATTCTACCTGTATTATTAAGTAATTCAAGTTGATCATTATTAAATCCACTTGAATTAGTACCATTTAAGAAAATTTGACTTATTTTTTGTAGTTGTTGTTCTTGTTGTTGTGTTGGTTTTTTTAATTCTGAACGTCTTACTCGATCACAATAAATACTAACTGTTAAATTTATTAATGATATAAATATAATTGACCATGTTATTGATGTATATACTAATGAATAATAGATATCAAAATCATAATTCCATATACTTAAATATATTTTATGACAAAAACCATTACGATGTTGTAAACGTATTAAATGATGAATATGAATAATTGTAAAAAATATTGTTGTTATTATACATATAGTTAATGAAAAACGTTGACGAAAATGATAACCGCATGTTATTCGTAACATACGATCAAAACATAATAATGTAAGTAACATTGATATTAAATCATCACATAAATAGTGTGCATATGTTATTAATTTACATGTTAGAATATTTCGATGAATTAAATCAATATCATATGTAAGACAAATTATAATTGGAACTGTTATCGATATATATGTAATATCGAATACAGCTTTGAATATTATATACCATTTAGCTGATGATTCTTTATAAAATCGACGTGTTTGAAATAATTTTATCAATTTATAATTTGCCCATGGACATAAAAATGCAATAGATGCACATGCCAAACGTAAAATCCATATTGAGGCAAAAATTAAAGAAGGATTTGCTTCTACAGATATGTCAGGATCATTTGTATATGATGATGAATCATTATTCACTGTCATATTATCTATATATATATATATACTTAAAGGCAAAAAGTAGTTGATATTATCATTCTTTATATGTATATGTATTCTTATTCTTACTATTGATAATATACATGAATTTAATTGATAAGAATACTAGATATCAAATAACAGAAAAGAAATAAATATTTGTAATATGATCTTCGATATGATTTTTTTTTATTTGTTTAAATAGAATTGCTTTATTTAATATTATACAATGATACAATCACCGGGACACGGGAGAGAGTAGTAAAGAAAACAAAACAAAAAAAAACAAACAAACAAACAAATTATAAACTAAATGATGGATATGATAATTGAAAGTATAATTCTTGATCAGCTATTTCACATTGTGATGATGGTGGTGGTGATGGTTGAAAATGTTCAACATGTGAATAAGATGTTGGAATAGAATATTGACTATAAAATGGTTGCTGATAACAATTTGTCATAGTATATGGTGGTGGTGGTGGTAGTACTGGAGGTGGATGTGAATTATTATTAAGAATTTGTGTTGTTTGAGGATAATGATGAATAAAATTTGTTTTCTTTTTTATAATATTTTTTTTTCTTATTGTTTCTTTTTTTGGATTTATTGATTCAAGATCTATAAAATCAATTCAAAAGACAAAAAAATAAAATCAATGAAAATAAAAAAAACTTACGACAATTAGGTGGACATTCATTTTTTAACCATTGTATAAAATGTTTTTCAGCATCTGATTTTGGTTTAATATTATTTAATACTTCATCACTATCAGGTCCAAAACGAAATGGTCCAGCACCAATTTGTTTCATTGCTATAGATTTTGGTGTATAACCATCTTCATTTGCTATTTGACTTTTTGCACCACGACATATTAAAACTTCCCATGTTGCAAATGATAAATTATATGCTGCTTTAAATAATGGTGTTTCAAGCTAAATAAATTTATAATAATCAAACATTGACAAACAAAAAACTTCGCAAAAGAAATACATACATGTTCATCTTGTGCTTCAATATTACCTCCATGTTTTAATAATAATAAAGCACCATTCATATTATCTTCAACAGCTGCATAATGTAAAGCTGTTCGACCTGCAAGAAAAAAACAAAAGTTTTATTTATTATAATTCTCAATTCGTTTATAATAAGTGTCCTAAAAAAAAATTCTACTAAATCTTGACACCTTTTTTTTCTATTACGTCCTATGCATAAAAAGTACCCTTTATATGCTAAAAGATAAGGAATTTAAAAGATTCACATCTATTTACAAGAGTAGGTCTCGGTGAGACTAGAAGAAGTCTTAAACGGTTCGTGTCCATACATTGTTCTTCTTGACTAGCAACCGTTTTCCTGTATTTTCTGTTGAAATTTTTAGGGCATTCAAACCACCATAAGATCTATCGATGCGCAAAATTTTATAACTAGATTATTTAATATGTTTCGTCTGAGATAGAATCGTAAGTCAAGAATGATAGCATGTGGTGACGATGTCTTTTAGACTTCTTCTAATCTCATTGAGACCTACTTATGGGCAAAATATCATCTTAATCAGCACGTCACACTTGGAGACCATCCCTCGTCGCTTGTTTCACTGCAATTTCCTATTCTCTATTGACATTTATCGATCTCTGTAACGCCTTTACTCATCGAAGCCGATGTCAGAAGTAAATTACTTAATATTAATAGATAGAGAATTTTATGCTTTAATAATCTTTTCAAATTTCCTGAGACTAGTATTTACAAGAATGCGACTGTTCGTAATTTTGATCCCACTTTGAGAAATCATGTTTTTGAAAGCCAGACGTGCTCTATAAAATATGTATTTCTATGCTATCGGATGCAAAATTTAATTCTAAACAAAATAGTATAAATATTACATTGAACCATGAAAATATTTATGGTGTTTCGCATTAGTTAACAACAATCGGACAGATCTATCAGAAAAGGGCTTTTTTCTGATGCTTCTGCATCTATTTTTTACTTCAAAATTGTTTCTTCCAAATATGTATTTTTTCTAAGATTCTTAAACATGCATAATTCTTAGAGGAATTTTGTGAAATAGTTAAAAATTCACTAGAACCTTTCTTAAAAACTTATCATGAGGTTTTTTTTTCTTCTCTGTCGTTGTTAAACAACTAAGTAGACGTTCTTCTTCTTCTTCTTCTAAATTTTGCGCTGACAAAATCAAGTTGTTTGAGCAACAAACTCAACAATTTTGTAGCTCTCCAAATTCTCCATCTTTAGCTATAAAAAAGTTTTTTTCTTTTCTATGAGAAAACAAAATTCACTGAGATGTAATGCAATATCTTCTGAAACATGTGTTATCTTTTAAATTTATTTATCTTACCAATACGTGTTTCATTTCCACCAACTGATGCATCACAACGATCAGTTGCATCAACATCAGCACCTGCTATTAATAAACATTCAGCTATATCATTATAATGTGCTCGTATTGCTTTACGTAATGGATTATCACCAGGTAATTCTTCATTATCTCTTTCATATATATATGTACTTGCATTAATATCTAATTTTAATATATTTGCATTTGTTAAGAAAAATTGTACAATATCAAATGCTTTAGCTGATACAGCACGTAATAATGGTGTAGCACCATATATATCACGTACATTTGGATCACAACCATGTGCTATTAAAACTCGTACAGCTGTTAAACGACGACGACGACATGCTAAATGTAATAATGTTTCTTGATTTGTACCTAAACGACAATGTATATCAGCACCATGATTAATATATAAATTTAAATTTGTTTCTTCATCAGCTTCATATTTTCCATATGGATCACGACGTGATATTTCTAATTCTAATACATTTATATCACCATTTGGACCACCTGGTATATTTAATGTATTTGTTGGTATTATTTCACAATCAGGTGATAATGAATTATGTTCAATTTTTTGTCGTTTATTATTTGTTAATTCATAATTTGTATTTTTTGTTTTTGTACGATTTATCCATGATAATTCACGTTTATTTTCATCAATAAATATTGATGGAAACCAAACAGGTGCTTTTATAAAACGTTTTGGACGTTGTATTAAACCATAACCAACAAGAATAGTTAATACAAGAAAACATGGTATAATAATAGATATATACACATATTTTGATTTATCATTTATTTGTTGTACATTATCAGGAAGAATATTTATATCAGATATTGGCATTTGAAGACGTTGAGCTAATTCACCATTTTGTTGTAATGCACCAAGATAATCAACAGATTGACGTACATTATCAAATTGACAATTTGATGATATAGATGAATTACATGTTTTTAATATTGTTATATAAATTTTTATACTAAAAATTTTCAAAACATAAGAATTTAGTTTTTTTCACTTTCTAAGTTTAAACTTTCTCACACAAGATTAGTCAACTTTTTCATTAGAATTATAGAAAACAGTCAGAGGTTTGATCGTTCATAAACGATATTTCTTATTTTAGGACCGTAAGTTTTTAGAAAAACTATTGATAATTTCTGCACTAACCACTTGAAAAAATATGCTATTTAAAATAAAGCTCGCGCATCTTAGAATTCTCGAAAAAGTTTCATTGTAGCCAATTACTTCTTTTTTTTTTGTTTGAAATAACATATCTGGGCAGAGTGCACGACAGAATCTTTTTTTTTTCAATATGTCGAGACATTGAACTTTTCTCCTCATAAAAAGTAACAATAAAAAAAAAACGAAGGACATCCTAATCCTGACATGTTCTTTCACATAACACGTATATGAAATGAAGGTCAACAGAGAATTTTCCTTTGTCGAATGAGCTATTTTTTGACATTTGTTTGTTGAATATCTTCTGAAAATAGAGTTCGGCAATTCCGAAATACCACATGGAACTAAAACCGTTCAATACAAAAATTTTAAACGTATTTTGAGAAATATTCAATTTTCGATATTAAAGATACAATGTATTTCAATATTATTCATATATACTGAAATCTTTAATCTCAACAACAAAACAAATGAAGATTTCTCAATATAGATTTAATGATTCCAGTTGCTCGAAACCATCGAACTCAATCTGCAAAACGCTATGGTATACCATTGAAAATTTCATAGAATTTAAATGGCGAAATGTCTTAACAAAAAACAGTACATACCCAATAGGTTTTGTTTTATCATTACCATCTTTATACCAAGGTAGGATTAATTCACTTCCATCTTTATTTAATGAAATTTTCACTGGACTATTTAATATTGAACCTTAAATTAAAAATAAATAAGAATTCGTACATCGATATTATTTTCTCTTACTAAATCTTTGAAGAAATAATTCTTTTCGTTTTTCAAATATTTCTTTATTTATTTCAAGTTGTAATATAATGGTTCCTAATAAACCATCATTTTGTATTGGTAAACAATCATCACGATCATAATCACAACCAATTTTATTACATTCATGATCACATATACCATTTAATATTTTCGATTGACAATAACTTACACTAAAAAACAAATTAGTGTTATTAAATATAATCATTTAATTATTCAACTTACTTGCATGTTAATAATTGTCGATCACAATCAAAACCATCTAATAAACATTCTTTTATATTACATTTTTCATCACATTCTCCATTACGAAATAAACGCCAACAATCTTCTATTGGACATAAATCCCATGGATCACGTTTTAATGTACATTCATAATTATCAAATTGACATTGTGCAAAATTACATTCATGATCACATCGATTATTATTTCGTTTTAATGAACAATTATTTATTAAACATGTATCAATTGTTGCTTGATTATGACGAGTATTTACAACGAGAAGTTCACAATGATGACCATAGAAATTTGCTGGACATTGACAAAATGAAATACCTAAAATTATTATATGAGTTTGTTTTTTTTTGACAAATAAATATGTTCAATGAACTTGTTTTACCATTATCTTTTCGAGCACATATGCCTCCATTTAAACAGGATGATTCGATACATTGAATATTTTGACAATTTTTATTTGTTGTTCCTGGTGGACATGAACATATATACGAACCTGGAGTATTCTAAAATATATAACACAAAAAAACAAAATATTCAATTACAAAGAGTATCATATGATTGATTTCGATACCAACGAAATGAAGGTATATCTTTTCTTCTATAGTCATGAATACGAATATTTTGCTTTGCAAAATTACAATCTCTTATCATAGAAGGTTTACAGAAATATCCTCTTTTGATTTCAATGATTTTTTTTGCCTATAGATACTATATAGTGCTCAAATAAACACCGTAAAAAGATTCCGATTTCTATTGAACTTTTACTAAGCTATCGAAGTTTTACTTGAAACTTTACACATAGAGAACTCTATAAGACTAACTTCCATAAAAGAAAAATTTACAAATTTTGAACAAAGTCTTTCCCACCTATAAGACTTTCAAGATATAGACTGTTACATGGATAGTTTATACAATGTGCATTTTTTTGGATAACCTCATATATCGATGAGACTTTGTTGACAATTTGTGAGTTTTTTAATGGAAACTATTCTAGTTGAATTCTCTGTTCGCATAAAGTTTCAGATAAAAGTTTGAAAATGAGTTTTCCGAATAACTAGACCCGTCTGAATAAAAATTCAATAGGTTATTCATATCTTAATAAGAATTCAAAGCCTTTTACATTTCTTATTAGAACACCATGTAGTGTCTATAGGAAAAAAGTATCATTGAAATTAGGAGGAAACATCGGAAGAAGCTCTTCATGCCGTGTTTTCTTCTCCAATGACAGATTATTGGTTCAATCTCTACAATCAATGACAACATATATAATCGGCTATTAATCATCCATAACCATAAATTTCAATGTGGAAAGGGTTAGCCCTCGTCACTTTTCACGGGATAAATTTTGAGGTATTGTTGAAAAATTGTCTACAAATTTTAACTTGTACAATACTTACATAACATGTTTCTAGGTTATTACATGGATTCATTTTACATTCATTAATATCTTCAGAACAAAAATCTCCTGTCCATCCAGGAAAACAATTACATTTTCCATTAAGACATGTACCATATATACATTGATTTGTATTATTTAATGATGATATTGAACAAGTTATATTTTTTATTTTACTTTTATCACATAAATCATCATTATCCGATGAACAATAACAACGATAACCATGAGGTAAATTTTCACATGTCGCATTTAATAAACATGGTGATGATGAACAAAAATTTTTTATTAATATTTGACATAAACGACCTGAATAATTTGTTGGACAAACACAACGAAAATTATTATTATATATTGTACGTATACAAGTGCCTTGATTTTCACATGGATTATTTTGACATGGATCAATTGGAATTTCACAAAAACGTCCTTCATATCCTGAATAAAAGATAAAAGTATATGTATAAGATTTTATTTAATTATATACAAAAATAAAAACAAATCTATTATTATTGCCGATAGACAAAAAAATAAAAACAGGATATCGCAAAGACTTGATAGAAAAAGAAGAATAAAAAAGAAAAACATACGGTGGGAATAAACCGTGAGATTACGATCTCATCACAGACATGTGCATCTTCTTTGATATACCGCTACTTTAAACCGACGACACGCACACCGCTAACTTTAGGTATGATGCTCTTTTTGTTTTCAATCAAATAAATACGTGTGAGATATTGATCTTTATCTTATACATTTATATAGAATAATTATGGGAAGAAATATTTCCATGTGTTAATAATACGCGTGCCTATTTGTTCCACTTCATTTCAAAAATTCTCAAATATCATCTGAATTATTTGTTTCACTCTCATTTGAACATTCATAGAGTACTTATTGATTTCAAGTATAACAACAAATGTACATATACATCTCTTTTATATATATATATATATATGTGTATTCAATTCAATAGAGAATTGCAAATCACTCATCCGATTGTGTGTGAGAAAAAGAAAACGTTTGTCAAGTGTAATGAAACCTTAACATATATTATATGTACATTCTATTGTCTACATGTGAATAGGATGACATCCGGATGTGCACATCTTATCGAATAATGAAAATAATTGAAAGAAAGAAAAGTCTTTTTTTACCCTCTGGACATGAACATATAAATTCACCAAGACCATCTATACATAAACCACCATAACGACAAGGTGAACTTGAACATTCATCAATATTTATTTGACAACGATCACCAGAAAATGCTTTTGAACATAAACATGATTCACGTTTATCTTCAGAATTTATTATACATGTACCATTATTTAAACATTTATTTTGACAAAGATTTGATATATGAAAAGAATTAGTAAAAGCTAAAAATTATCAGAGAAGAAAATTTTTTCTTTTGTTAAATTTAAAAATTTAAATACTTACGAAATAAAATTAAAGTGGCTATAAGAACAAACCACATGATAATGATCATTGTCGTTTTTATGTGTTTTATAGACAGCAGACGTTACGGACAAATAAAATGAGCCTAATTTTTAACAAGTTTCAATTTATATATATATATGAATGACGCGTCGATTCTCTCTCTCTCTGTCACTCTCTCGCACCTATTGGTTGACCATATGAAATTAGTGTATTCATTCATTCTTTTTTTCCTTTTCGTCGTCATCGTCGTGTGAAAAAAAAAAAGACGAAACGAAGAAGTCATGAGTGATCATTTGAACGATGAAGAATGATCGAAAATGGAATGTCCATAAAAATAGATTCAACCGTATCGATTACTCAATTGTTATAAGACCATTTAGAAAAAGAACCGCCTAAGGGTTTAATTCATTCAATCATCAACTCATCATTATGTTAGCTAAATCGATAACAATGTTGTTTATATCAATTGATCCATATGACTAACCATAACAAAAGCTATTATATTTTATATCAATTGGTTATGCAGTTCAATAGAGAATTATTTTGACAAAATAAATAAATAAATCTTTTTTATTTTTAACCATGACCATTAAAAATAAGTACCGGAAATTTATTTAGACTAGACAACGAACGTGAAAAATATTTGTTAATCAAATAGGTGATAAAGATCACAGGATATTTTTTTGTTTTTATTGTCAAATAGTTACACATTTTTTTTTGTTAAAAAAGAAAAATAAAATAAACTTTAATGAACTAATTTCATAAATAGAATATTCTTATTGAGTAATATTCATTATGAACGACAAATAATTTCATGTGTTACACATCAAATAAATGTTAATGAATAATCCCGATAGCGATGAAAATGAATAATGATTCGACATGGAAAAATATAATAAAATAACAATTATATCATAAAAAATTTATGATAAAACTTAATTTGAAACTATCTGATTTATGATAGAATCATTTTGTTTTTTTTTTTTGTTTATCAATAAGACTAAAAGTTGTTTTCTATTTCGAAAAAAAACTTACAAAATGTACAAAAATTAATTTAATACACTCAATTTGTTTCTTGACTTTGTTTAATCATAATAATCAATATTTCAAAAGTTTCTATAAATTTGAATGATTCAAATTAATTAAAAAAAAAAAAAAAGAAAAGTAACATATGTATATCATACAATATATATATATATATTTGCATATAGATATTTATAATGAAGAGAATTCATACATAACTAATTGGTTTACCGTCAACATTCATTAATTCAACAATATTTCAAAATATGATATTTCATTTTCTTATTGTATACGATCATTCATGATGAATTCATAAGATAACAAATTACTTTCCCGTAATATATTGTACTTATATGAATACGTGATAATGGACATCAATAATAGGGATTAAAAAGAATAAATCATGGATAAAATGTTAAAAAGTTATTCTTATGAATTTATACTTTAGTCAAATGCAGAACACACTTCAAGGATAGATACATAACAAACACTTAAAAATAAATCGATAAATGAATATACAAAAATTGAAACAAAAAAAAAAGAAATGAAGATAATATGTATATATACATATTTATGTGATTAACTTAAGTTTCAATATAATATAAATGAATTTTTTTTTTTTCTTTTGATTGACAAATAATTTTGAATTTATTTTAAATTACATATTAATCAACATTTTCAATGATATTTTATATTTTATTTTTTAGTTATTTTTCATGATTACAAAATGATTCTTTACTCTCTACAATCCATGTTAAAATAAAACTGATGACTCATTTATTTTGGCCTTGAAATAAAAAGCGGAATTCGTCGAAATAAAAACATCAAGAAAAAGACCCGAACGCTGCATGTGTATTTTTTATGTGAATTGTGCAATGACAAAAAAATAAAGTCAATTGTGTTTTCGTTGTTCTCTTGTCTCACACCGCATACCGACATACGCGCAGACACACACACACACACACACACACACTTGCTGAGTCGCAGGGTAAGATTCTTAAATACACACACAAACATCCAAAAAAAAAAAATATTCTGTGTATTTATTTTTATTATATATTAATAAAAAACAAATGACAAATAAATATCCATCAACATTTGTTCAACAATATTCAACAAAAATAGCCTTTCTTATTGATTGTGCCAATGGTTTAAATAGTTTTGCATTATATCCACGATTTATGGATAATTTTCCATCGAATAGTGATGTATTTTTATTTTATTCAAATAATGAACCCGGTATGATTCGTCGTTTAAAACGTATTGAAGCAAGTAATCATGGTGTTTTCTTTTTTCCAACATCAGAATTTGGTATTGATTTTAATATATCATATATACTTGGTCAAATTAATAAATTATATACTGATTTTATTCTTATTGTTGAACATCATCCAGCATATGAAGATATATGTCAACAATTAATTAATAATAATGATCAATTACGAGATCATATTCAAGTACGATCATTTGAACGTACAAATGAATTTGAACAATTTATAAAAGAAATAACACGATTTCAAAATGAAAATGAAAATAAAAGAACTAATGAAAATCATAAAGTTGTTATTAATTTTTCAAAAAAACATCTTTTTCATCCATGTCCATTCGAAACAAGATTAGAATCATCAGTTTTATATCGTTTTGGAGAATTTCTTCATCATCTTGATACTCAACATCCTAATGTTTATTATGAATATTGTACAGAATGTCAACAAACAATAGAAAATCGTAATGTAGCAGAACAAGTTACATTCGAAGAACATATTAGAGATAAACATTGGGCAAGTAATGGTTTTCATCTAACTATTCGACCAATACAATATGAATGACAGTTATTATTATTATTTTTTTTCTTTTTCTTTTCATATGTTTTAATTCAAGCTTTTTGGAAAATTATTTTTATTAGTGAAAAGTTTAGAAATCAATAATATTAATATTCGATTTGAATTCAAAAATAAAAATTCAACATTTGTTTTATATCGTTTAGATTTATAACAAAAAATGTCAACAGTACGATTTTTCATCAGTAAAAACAAATCATAGTAATTGAAATAAGTTAATTAAATCAAACATTTCACATTTAGAAAGAAAAACAAACCATATCTGATTTTAATTAGGAATGTTTTGAAAATATATATGTTTCACAAATTAGTAGAAGAGAACATATCAAACATCAGATATTTTACAATAATATAAAATATTAATCAATAAATAATAAGAATCAGTCAACGATCTATGTACCATGATAATAATAATAATAATAATAACCGATTAAAAAATGCGAACAATAACTTAAAGAAACGGATGAATAAACTCAAAAAAAAAAATTAACAATGTAATCACAATTTCTCATCTTTCAGCCACAAATATACTTGGTTTTACACGGAAATACCTACGTTTTCTGCTCAAAAAATACAAGTAGGTAGACTTGATGAAGTCTATTTAAATCCTTGGCCTATTGTAAATTTTTTCAATCTTAATTGATTATTCAAAAACAAACGTCTTCTTTGAAATTTACAATTCATATACATTTCAGAAAAAAAATGAATTCTAGAATATATCTAATAGAATCTTCAAATTCTATCAATAAAAAAAAAATCTTTATTTAAAAAAAAAAAAAATTTTTTTTTGCTTTCATTATATAAAAATATAAATAAATACAACATCATGCAATACTCTCTATTTGAGCTAATGTAGCTTTAGCAGCTAGTTTATGAATACAAGCTTTTTTTCCTTGTATAGCTAAAACAATATAAGACCATAATTGAACTAAACTTAATGCAATTAATGTAAATGGTGTTAAAATCCAATGAAGAATATTTCGAAGAATAAAAATATCTTCTTTTACATTCAATGTCCATCGACACCAAATAGCATCTAAAATAAATAAAGCACCATAAAGTAATTGAGGTATAATAACAGCAATTAATAGATGTAAATGATAAGGTTGAAATGGTTTTGGTAACCAAAATAATTCGAAATTTGGACAAAGTAATGGAAAAAATCCCGATGATACATTAAAAAGACTTGCACTACAAAGTATAACACCATAATAAAGAAAATAACCAATAGCAAAAATACATGAAGCTAATATTGGTAAATTTGGAATTTTAACAACAAAATAATGAAAATTATCCGCTGTACCTAAAAGAAAAATTAAATATAAAAAAACTGTTAACATAATCCTTGCGAGATTAAAATATGAAACACAATACAGCTACTCTTGCTAAACACAGGAAAATTATTGTATTCTAGATATTTTGGGATACATTTCTTTTTCAGCATTCTTTTACTTCATCCTTCAGAAATGTAAGGAGATAGTAATGAGACATTACGATGGATGCCTCTAGTGAGTGGAGCATATCAGGTTCAAGAATTTTCGAATCTAGACACAGATCCGATCGATTGAAATTTGTTGGACTTGGACCCAATGGATTCTACTGGTGAACAATTTCTAACGTGTCTGCCGAACCCGGATCATGTTTCATGAAAAAAAAAAGAAAGCAAAAATATTCATACCAATGCCCCATCTGCGTACTTGAATATACCATTCTTTAACATCATTCAACCATGAATGACCAGATGTTGGTCCAGATCGAACAGGAACAGGTAAAAGACGTATACGTATACGTCTTTGTGTACCAATCATTACTGTTAATAAATAACCAACATCATCCATAAATATTTGTGGATGCCAATAACCTCCACGTACAGCAAGTGTTAATGAAAATGAAAAACATGACATTGGATTAACATTATATGGAATAAGTAAACCCATTGTCATTAAAGAACGAACAAGACCTGTTATACGAACTGGAAATGAATTTTGATCTAAATTCCAATTATAAAAAAGTGGTGCTTGCCATATTGTACGATGTACACTAGGATCATTTGTTTTAACACACCTTAAATAATCAGCTGATAAAGCTTCAAAGTATTTCCGATGAAATAATGTATCAGCATCACATGTTGTTACCATAACATGTTGAATATTTTTTTTTCTTTCTTCATCTTCCATTATATAACCTATAGCTGCTCTTACACCCCAATTAGCATTAGCTGCTTTTGATGCTATTTCATTTTCAAGACCAAATGGATGAACAGGAAAAATTATAGAAAAAAATTTATCAGAATAACGTTGACGTATAGTTTCAGTACGTTCTTCTCGATCTGGTGTTCGAGATTCCCATGCTATAACTAATACAATACGTTTAGATTCAGTTTGTTCAGCAAGTGAATCAACTGTACGACAAATAACACCCATTTCATCATTATATATTGTTAATATAAGTAAATGAACTAATGATACATCAGCTGGATAAGTTTGTTTATGATCAGTTAACATTCCATATTTTAATTTAATTAATGCATATATAGAAAATATTAATGCTAGGAACCAAACGAGATCTAACCAAATTAATATTGATAACATAGTATAATATGTAGCTTGACATGATTGAGATGCAAAACGAAGCCAAATAGGTAATGTAAAAAAGGCTACTATAACAAATAACCAAAGAAGATTCCAACGTAATAAAGAAAAATTTAATGGTTTAAGTCGTTTAAAATTTTTAACATGTCGAAGAACTATGGAACTTGATAAATCACGATCATCAGATGGTAATGATTCAGTTAAGGACGAAGAACGTGGTTTTTCTTCACAACTCATTTTTAATTCAAATGTTCTTATCAAGTCATCACCTTAGTTAAATAGTATAATATCAATATGTGTAACTTGTTATTTTGTCACATCACTATGCTTTATCATCATGATGAAGATGTAAGATATAAACTAAGAAAATATGTAGAACATATTTAAGTGCTTTTGCAATCTTTTTTGTTTTCTTTTTTAATATTTTCATTGATATGTTTTGATAAAATTGAGATCTAATGAAAAGAATTTATGTTTCTTTTAAATAGTTGACATAGCCATTTCGTTACCATAGTATACAAAAAAAAGCTACACCTGTTTTTAATTATTTTTTTTAATAGTATAATTCATTGGAATTTGTGTATAATCTCTTGAAAGCAATTCAAAAAGAGTATTCGAGAAAATTTTCATAGTATCTGCGTCACAAGCACTGCCTTCATATCTTTCATTTTCTTCTTGTCTTTCTCCGAATATGATATCTCTCATAACAAGGTTAAATATAATTTACACCTCATAAGTCACATGCAAAAATAGATGAGTTACTTTTTACATGTCCCTATCAGTGATGAACTGAGGATTTTTAGAAAAGGTGAGATCGATCGCTTCATCGTTCACCTCTCAATTCGTCACTGGTTCCCATCTCTAAAAATAGCTAATATAAGGATTCATTGAGTTTTAATGTAGAAAAAAAAAATGATGTAACGAAAGGAATAGTATGAAAAGGAGAATTCTTTTGAAAACAAAATGTTGCGCTTATAAAAAGATAAGATCATTATCTGTTATCACTCGATACTACATCATTCTTTGACTTGACTGATTTTATCTAGATGGTAATATGGTTGTTTTCATCGCATGTTCTTTGAAAAAGATATTAGGCTTATTTGTTCTGTATTTGCTAATGTTTCTATGTCAATTATCAATTTATTTTTAGATTTAGATCTCATAAAATTTTAGTTATAATAAATTATCAAAATAGTAATAGCACTTTGTTTTTTTATTTAGTAAACTTTGACATAAACAAGTAAATTCAACGTTCATATCATCGTTTTGATATTTCATAATATTGTTTTGTTTTAAAGAAATTGCATTTTTCCAATACTTAGACTTTATATTGATCAAAGTATCTCCTTCGACTTATGTGAATAATTATAATCAACAAAAATTCATTTTACATCATATTCTAGCATTTAGTTAGTCTGACTAATATTATTTCAATACGTAAATAAAAACAAAAAGAAATAACTTCAGAAAAAAGAAAACAATAATGTATAAGGCATTATAGTGATATGTTAAAGATGCAAATATAATTAATTAGTAAAAACTAATTTCCATTTCGTAGATGATAGAATATATATAATTTAGCCAATAATATCTGATTTAGCATAATGATTCATGACATGTATGTGCTAATTCTTAACACGAAAAACAAAAAAAAAATAAATTATTTGATAAATTTGAAGTTTTATATCTACCATGTCGAAATTTATCAAGTTGTGATGATAGATGTGTATTACGTGAAAATGACAATTGAACATTAAGTTGAGTATTTTCTACCTATTTAAGAATAAAAACAGAAAAAAAAAGTAATTATTTTTATTTTTTATTTTTTAAATTTACTTCTAAGGCATCAAAAGCTGAATGAAGTCGTTTAACATCTGTTTGTAATTGACCAAGAATTTTCGATTGATATTTTCTATTTAATAATTCTTGTTCAAGTTCAATAATTCTTGTTTGTAATAATTCACAACGATTACATTCACGTTCATATTTTATCTAAAAACAAAAAAAAATAAGACAAAAATTCTTTTCAGATTGTCATACGAATTAATATGAATTTGATTTACCTTCCATTGAGATTCTTGTTCTTCAACTTGTTTTAAACGTTGTTCGAGTTCATCAATTCTTGTTTGTTTACTATGTAGTACTTGAATAAGTTCACTTGTGACAAGATTTTGATCATCACTTATTATCAGTTTCTTTTTTAATGATACATCATTATTATCACGTGTTGGAATCATTTCTTTTTGTGAATTATTAATATCAGTTGTTGTAAGATGATTATCATCTATGACAGCATCAATTTGTGTACGAAGAACATCAACCTAAATATTCAAAACATCTTTTTCTTTGTAGTTTAAACTGGAGAAATGTTGTTCTTTTTTTTTTTTTTTAAATACT